TTCTCTGTGTGTGCTGTCAGTGCAAGTAATGGGTGGGTGGCCCGGGGAATGCCGCACAAATAACATGCTTGTTTACTCTGCTTGGATGCAAATAATAGAATGAGGTCACAAAGTTGGAGAGTTTGTGAGACAAAGGGCATCTTACATGCACCCATGCTTTGTGGATGAGATTTGTGGTTTCGCTCTGAGGTTCATCATTACTCCCTCAAGGGTGTGTTTGATCTGGCCCCTCTTCTCCATGGTCTGATGTACGCCTGGGCTGCATCTTCTTTGCTGCGTATAGATACAAATTCTGATTTTGAAAGTTCAAACAGGCTGTCCCAGAGGAGGACGGCTGCTTCTAGGGCAGAGAGAGTGAGAGAGAGGGAAGGAGGGAGAGTGAGAGAAATAAATAGAGAGAGAGAAAGAAATAGAGAGAGAGAAAGAGAGAGAGACAGGGCCCCCTGCTGAGATTTTCCCTGCTTTTCTCAAAAACTGGTGGAGTCGAGGGTGGAGAGGGGACTAGAGAGAGCGGCAAGAGAGGAATGTTTGACTGGTTGATCATCCTGCCATCTTTTCAACAGCTGCGCAGAGGGATGGGTAAAGTCCAATATTGGTGAGCAAATGTATGTCTGTGAAGTTCATCTCATGGCAAACACATGGAGAATACACACAGATAGAAAATTACTAGAAAACTGAGGCTGGCAGATAAAGGAAAACACCACCTCAGTCTTCCATGATCACTGCTCAGATTAGACTTAATGGGCCACATCGCAAACAGACCAGACCTACAGTACATGTCAAGTGCATCAATTTCAAAAGGTGGAAAGATGATGAGAGACAGAGGCTAAGGCTGGAGGCAGACGGACAGAGAAGGAGACAAAGAGAGAGAGCAGACCTCTGTGTCAACTACATCAATTGTAGGATGTGGGGAAATTATGAGAAACAGCAAGAGTGAGGGATGGATGAAGGAAGAGACAGACGACAAGCAAAGGAAATAAGGGAGAAAGCGGGAGGAAACAAAGAGGGAGAAAGTCCTGGAGAGAGAACATGCCTCCATGTCAAGAGTGTCAAGAGCAGGAAGTTAAGCACGATAACAGGCAGGGAAGGAGCCAGTGGAGGGCAAATGTGATATGCGAGTAAATGGATGCAACTGCCTGATAGTTTATTGCGTGCTTATGCACTTTCAACTCTGTTATTCCTAGAACCTGAAGAGGAGAGAGGAGTAGATTGATTTTCCCTAACAAAAGAGGATGCCTCCAGGATAAATACCTATCCATGAAACGATTAAAGTCATTGTGATTTTAAAATGACAGCCAGCTGAATGTTTTCGAGCTTCCATCATGTCAACCTGAGAGATATAAAGACATCTAGGAGGGGACAATGAGCACATCAATGCTGCATTGTCCTCAAAGCACTTTGTTGTCCCCTGAGAGAACAAAATACCAACCAGGTATCAGTAAAGTGAGACTTAACTCAATGAATGTGTGTATGGCATTTAGAGTGATTCTGTTACTGAATCTCTAGTTTGCATGGGACATGCCATTGTTGGTTGTGTGCGTATGATGAGTGGGAAGGAGGAGGGGTGAAAGAAATGGGTAAGGAAGAGAGAAAAGAGGGTGGGGGTCCCAGTCCCCTGGAGAGCTTGGCCATGCATTAATCTTCTCCCTTTGACAGCTCCCTGAAAGTTTCTCAAGAAGGGCCATTTCCTTGAGCTATTATAATGCTTCACTCAAGCACAACCCCTACGCTGAGTGTCGGGGGGAAGGAGGTAGTACCGGATGGATAGAAAGGGAGAAAGACTGGAGCCATTTGTGGGACCTCAGGATCAGAATATACAGGATGATTTAGTGGATCTAGAGCAATCTGTCACATGGAGAAACAACAAGTATGGAAAGTATTGCATATTGTGAATGTATAATGTTGTAGTAATTCATATCCAAAGACAAACAGCTTGATAAATGGTTACTTAACCATAATCAGCTAAGAAGAAAAAAACGTTATGCCATTACAAATGAAAGCAAATAAAGAAATACATGGTCCAATAGTAAATATTGTATGCATCGGATTTTTAACAACGTTTTTGTTCACTCATTATATAAAGAAAACTGCCACTGACCATTGTTCTGAAACCCAAATGTGAACTGTGTTGAGTTCAATGGTGAGCTTGAGGATATGTTGTAATTTAGCACCTGATACATTTCTCCTTAAGGTTAGGGTTAGGGTTTATTCAATTAATTCGAGGAAAACTAATTCATTTATCAAAGGTTACAGTGGATGTGAGCTGTATCCGCCAGCACAGTTTAAGCTTTAAGGTGTGAGTCACAAAAGCTTCTAGATGAAATATAATGTGTATAATAGAGTCCAAAATAAAGTCTGAAAGTTTGAAATAAAACAAACTACAACCAGTGTTTTATGACACTAATCAAAGCAACTTTAGTTTACCCTCTGAATGTATTATGATTATAGAGCAAGGCATTACGAAACATTCATTATTAGTTCTGTTTATCATAAAAATGTAATATTCAAATCATTGTGCATTTGTGTAAGGCCACTGAGCCCTCCAAACCAATGTATTTTGCCTGGGTCAGCAAGCTTGCTTGAACTGAATATGTAGTTACAGCCAGCAACCAGTCTTTGTGAGCACAAAGACTGGAAAAAGGAGGAAACAGTTGGCCTGGCTCTGTCCAAAGGTAACAAAGTCCACCTACCTGCACTTCTAAAGCTCCCTATTCAAGCTCCTGGAGCCCGGCTAGCTGTTTCCTCCTGTTTCCATCCTTTATGCTAATCTAAACTGGCAGGATGCTGGCAGTAACTTCATTGCTAAGAAAGAAAGTGGCATTGATCACCTCAAGTGTATTTTCCCAAATGTCAAGCTATTAATTGAGGTAAATAGCCCTTCTTTGTGATTATTTTTTATAACATTTAAAACTAAAAAGCTTACAATTCATTTAAATTCATTTTTAGAAGAAATACAGAAAAATATGGTCCACTTAGCTTGAATTAGCTCACATTGATTCAAAAACACTTTCTTAGCTAATATCAGAATACTGCTGCTTTCTCTTTTCTCACTTCCCTCTGCCTGACTGTCACACACTAACACCATACTTATCTGTAAATCTCACCATCTCTATCTCTGTCACTCTGTTTTTTCTAACACATGTAGAGTGACACGGACACTGTATCATGAGTGTCAGGTTGCGGCTTGTGAAGTTTTATAGCACAATGTTATGAACTGAGAATCTCTGTATACCGTCAATGTATCTGATGCCACCAAAACATCTAATTCCAATTCCTCGCCCACACCCAAACTGTTTTACTTCTCACATCGAGTCAGGACTCGTACTGCTGGCAGTGAAGGCTGTCACAGATTGTCCTTTAGGTAGGACAGACCTGGCACTATTACCCAACGTCAACTTCACCCATGATTTAAATTCACCATGGGTCAGGGCCACTAACTGGGCTGGGTAGTTCGAAAATGGACAGCAAATTAGTTTCTCGTCCCCCCTCCAGTTCAAGGACAGCAAACTGGCCTCCCCTGGAAGACCAGACACGGTGATAGTGAAAGCTTGATAAATTGGGAAGACTGAGGCTGGAGCCACACAGAGACGATAACGAAAACGAACCAAATTCGATATTAAAAAAGTCTTCCGTCCACACGAGACAGCTCGCCCGCTGGAGACGCTGTAGTACAGGAATAGCCCAGAATTTTTAAGTTGTTGACAGGGGGGG